CTAGTTATGTCACGGGTAACTTTAATGAAGTACCCGCAGGCCGTGTCGATCTGCACATCGTCCACTCTCTCATGTACTTGGCCTGCTTTGTCTGTGTATCCATTTCATGTGCGATCCACAAAATCGACTAGACAGTGGGTGCAATACGCTCTCTACCTGAAGACGTTCTTCTGGCGACATCTCGCCATGTACTTGGCCTGGCTTTGTCTGTGCATCCATTTCATGTTCGATCAACAAAATCTCAATGCACTACAGAGACTAGACAGTGGGTGCAATACGCTCTCTATCTGAAGACGTGAACCATTAATTTTTTTGGAAAAGTTATACGTACACCTGAACCGTAATGAAGTACAGGAATAGAGAGAGTGACTACAATACGCTCTCGACCTGATATAGTGATAACGTGAGTACAAGACACTCTCCACCTGATAACGTGTTAGAAGGTAACATGTCTACAGTCCCACCGTACCCTTCCGACACGACTGTAGACCATTAAATTTTTTTGAGAAGTTATACGTACACCTTAAACGTAATGAAGTACAGGAATAGAGAGAGTGACTACAATACGCTCTCGACCTGATAACGTGAGTACAAGACACTCTCCACCTGATAACGTGAGAAGGTAACAGGTCTACAGTCCCACCGTACCCTTCATCATTCCTCATTCACCATCGCGCGATACCCTGGCACACACTGGCAACATATCAATGGGGTGCCTTACCGTCGTCTAGAGGAGACGTCTTCGCAGCAATATTTTCCCTCCTGCGCATTCAGTCGCCGACGCGACAGCGTTCACGGGGCCGTTCCAGTTGCGGAAGACATTCGATTCATCAGGCCAATTCAGCAACAGGGCCGTGGACACACAGGGGGCAGAGGAGAGACATTGTTAGTGGACAAGAAATATGCAGTGGCAAGTGGCGAGTGCCGCATGGATGTCAAGTTGTCATGCACAATTCAGCTATTACTTACGGTCCAGCTAGTCCTGCCATTGCTCGCTCGTCCTGGTTCCTCCTCGTTCGTCTTCCTGCACGTCTGCACTTCTCCTTCCCCACCGTTGGCTTTGCGGTACGGGGGTGCCGGAAGGAATTCCCACCATGTATCCATGTACATGAAGTCCCACTCTCCATGTACATGTCCACGGCCACGTCAGCAGTTTGTATAGTACCGGAAGGAGTTCCCACTGCACGATGTCTCCAAAGGCCTAGATCAGCTAGAGCGGACGTCTTTGCAGCAATTCTTTTCGCCCTGCGCATTCAGTTCGCCATGTCTCCAAAGGCAAAGGCCTAGAGCCTAGTAGAGGGGACGTCTTTGCAGCAATTCTTTTCACCCTGGTACCCTGCACATTCACTCCGCCGACACGACAGCGTTCACGGGTCCGTTCCAGGGGCAAAAGGTCCACGTCAGCAGTTCTCAACTATTTCGCGTACGGGATAGTCGCCGCGACAGCGTTTAAGGGGTCGTTCCAGGTGCAAAAGGTATCCATCAATGGCACTTTGCAGTATGGGGTACGGAAAAGGGGCCTCCTCGTTCGACTTCGTCGACTTCTGCAGCTCTCCTTCCCGTCAGGGGTACCGAAAGGGGCCTCCTCGCAGTTGTCCTTGCCGTCAGGTCCACGTCATGCAATTCTCAACTATTTCGCGTACGGGATAGTCGTCTTTGTCGTACGCGACATCGGCGTTTACCGAGTGGCATTGGCACAAAGCAGACCGTTGACGGGGTCACGTGTCAAAAAAGTATCAACAAAGTGTCGACGACGTGTCGACCACGTGTATAGCGGTACACTCAGCGGTACACTAATTCTCGTGCCATTCTCGTGTCACAAAACTGGAACATCGAGTACCAGTATGGAAAGGCTTCAGACAGGAAGCCTTTCCAATAAGCACCTCTCCTGCTACCATAGTATCATTGCTATCCCCGTGATCGTGGTATATTGGTACATCTCACTGGGGTCGACTTTGACCCAGTATCCAAAAATCTGCAAGTTCTTCAAAGGCAATTATGTTGGTTGGTGCCCTGGCCCGCATACCGATGGACAATGCAGTAAGATTATATCGTTGTCTGTGCAGTTGTGTGGACATGCATGCAAAAAGATACAGATATCAAAACACTTTTCTACTTGTCATCAACAATGCGTGTGCATAGCATATGTGTGTCTTTTACTGTTTCTAATTTCTTTCTTTTTTTTGCTGCGAAGTCACTCTGCTGTCAAGCACGTCTCTATTTGGAGTGATGCCGATCGTTTCTGCTGCTGCTGAGGTTAAGGTTTCTGATATAACTCAAATACTTTGTTAGTTCATTTTTGGGGTATTTATATTATATTTATAAGAACATCTCAAGACTCGGTGGAAACACCGGCCAATATAAAGAGAGTGGGTGATTGCCAACCACGGCGAAAATACAATTGCGTGTTCCCATCCCTTTATATCTTAATAGTTATACGCATTTTTGTCATTCGTGCAGCAGTCTTGGCAAAACATGCATAATGCTATCAAGAGCCGCTTTGGCCAAAAGCCCTGATTGGATCTTTTGAAGAAACTCAGGTCTGGGGTTTGTGATCGTGTGGCAAACAAGAGTTCCGAACTGTCAGATCGAGTGTTGCTGGGTCGTACTGCGTGTAGTTCGATCTGTTTAACACGTCTTACCAATACGAAGCACATCCATCTAATAATGGTGTAGATGTTTTATCAGTTCGAGTCACATTCATTGCGGCCTAAGTATATAAAAAGGTCACAGTGATTACTCCTGGCCCTTCAGCTCTCTCGTTCTTATTGTGAAGTAAAAAGGAGAAAAACTCACGCATTACGCAAGACTAAAGACAGGTGCATTCTACCAAGTAGTCAGTGCAGTGTGCCATGGTCCTAGCTTGTAATCTTTACAACTCAGATGGTGAGCCAAAGAAAAAAATTAACATTGACAACAGGGCAGACGTTTTGCGGTCGAATCCACTACCTACACAATCTAACACAAAATTTAAAAGAATTTCTGGGACTATCCCCCGCATGAAGGTCTGAGTGTACAAAATCTGTTGTAGTTGGTGGCGTGGACAGCATAACTTGTGCCCACATGTTTTTCCCATTGTACGTTGTTTCCTTTGCGAGATGCACTGTGCATATACATTTACAATTACACAGCGCTGAATTGGAGCTTCAGATGGTGATATTTTATTTTTTGTTTCCGTTCGTCTCACCTCGTCGTCGTGTCACTATGGGACCGGTAATTTCAAAATATCATTAGTAATCATTACGCTTGCATGTGTGGCAACCGTAGTGTGAACTTCTACTGGACTTCTGGTCTTCGTAATGCGCGTGTTTAAATGAAGATTTAGCGCCGTTTGTATGCATGCCCCATCAGCACTTTACGTCCCATGCTTACCTGTAGATCTATTGTCTAAAGGACTCATCACCTGCTAGAATCAGAACTCATGCACAGAATCAGAATCGTCAATAGGGCTCTCTGAGTCACAACAGCGCTTCCTGCGCTTCCTGCAGAACCAGAACACGTCCAGATTTCAGGATGTTTTTACATCTGGCAACAGTGACAAGCAGGCAACAGAAGACTAGCACCTCCAGTGTAAAGGCATTTTGCACCTTGTCACAATGACATTCATGCTCGCCACACTTGATAAAAGCTGACACCCATGGCTGGAATCAGTCCAGATTCGGGTTTGGTGTCTGCGAATTGCAAACATAGTGAGAGGAGATAACGCGAAATGTCAGGATGAAGCTGTGAACACCGACATTACGTAATCTCACCTGTATGGTCCAGTAGCCTCTACTACTAGTACTAGTACTAGCGAGTGGAGGCGGGCGGCAAAGACGTTATTATGAGTAATGAAGCTCTAAACTCTTAGCATCCCTTCTCGCAAAGGCGAGTCAATAAATTTGACCGGCTAACCCACACAAGAACTCTGATTTTGTCTCATTCTACATGTACCTTTTTTTTTCCAGTTTAATTCGACCTCTTTCTTTCTTTCTCGAAGGGGAAAGGTTGGGGTCGACTTATAACCGGGAACCACCGGTATCTATAAAAAATGACCCACACTGCATGCACTAGTGCACCATGTGTACGCATTGTTGCCAGTATAATTATTGCTTTTTTCCAGGATTTGGACGTTTCACCCTCCATTGAGGAGTGTTTGTATAATTTGTTAGTATTCTTTTATTTATAGTGGAGAAACCAAAACAAGCATACGCCTAATAACAATGGACCCACTGTGTAGGGTGGTGGAGGAGGGGGGGGGGTGTTAGTAGTAGGTAGAGTTAAATGGGTTAACAGTGCTTGGTTGGGTGAAAACAGAAAGAAACCCTCCAGACACGGGCGGTCGACCAATAACCGGGGTCGACCTGTACTGGGTAAAATACGGCACATGTACATTGTACATGCATTCCAGAAAAAAAGTATCACTTGACACTGTGTTCGCCACATGTCAAGTGAGCTGACATCTGTTTGACATCATGCGCGGCTGTGGGCCGCACACTTGTCAACTGAGTGCTGTCCATGGATGCTCACCTCACTTCATCTGCGCCTTGCGCAGCACAAGCCCTGGCTTGGTTGCTATTGTATGGTCACGGGAGAGTAGTAAAATACAGGGTTTTTTTTAATATGCCTCTTATGCCGGCAAGCACGGAACACGATATCACCAGTTGACACAACAACTAACGAAAATCAAAAACAAAGTTAGACAGCTTCCGTGGAGACAGAAATCAATGCAATAAGTAAAGGAAGCCGCGCAGTCAAAGCATCATACACCAATGGCACAGGTTAGAAAACATCATTATGACATTGTTTTTTTTTGAAGAACTTTACACTTGGCCATGTGCAAACAATGACAACTCTATTCATGATAGTCTCTGTCAGATCAGTCTGTATCCATTACCCGTGTTAGCTGGTCGGTCGCCAACACGCCAGGCTTCGGAAACCGCATTAGTTTGTATTACTCCCTGGTGGCCACCGCCCAGGATTACCCGTCTGTAAGCACCCACGCGAACACCTTTTCGAAATGAATTTTCGAAATGAATTTTTCCGCCGCTGGGACTGGTCGCAGGGTATAACAGCCTCATAAAATTGACATTGTAAAGGTTTTGGCGTGCGTAACAAATAATCAAATGAGGTCACGGCTGAAAACGCACCTGCATGGGAGGCCTACGACAGGCAGATTTGAAATTTAATTTATTTGATATAATTATATTTCCCCAAAGGCTGTTTCCCAGTCGAAGAGTTTCATGTTTTAGCTTGACTGATGATATACCGGTATGTGGGATGATAAAACTGGTAAGAGAGGTAGGAAAAAAGACAAGTAAGGAAGGAAAAAGAAGAAACAAACCAACCTAGTTTGGAATAAGAAATAGGGGGATTTCCCATGCAGCTGCTGCTCTCCCCTGGCTGGATTGATCAGAAGGCTAGCACATCAGGATCTGCACAGGAGTTGAGCATCAGCAGCACAGAAGGTGCAGTAGAGGAAAGTTCCTGATATTATAATTATATGTAAGTAAATTCGATTTCATTGGTCCAGAGCACTTTTGATTTCGCATGGAGTAAGGAAGCGGCAAGCTACGTTTGAAACGTCACATGCTGTAAGAAGGAAGCATTCGGTTTTTTACAAGCGATTGTACTACAGCGACTGACCGTTCACACGGTGCTGTTCTTGTTGTTTTTAGTGTCTCCAGCTCCGCTCAGTTAGGCCGAAAAGCCTCGTGTAGAGACCTGGCCCCGAGAAGATTCTCAGCCCTTGAGTACGCTTGAGTACGGGTAAAACCCATGTAGCAATGACTACTGGTCTGGCCTCGAACCCCACAAACTGTGCACCGGTTTTCGCAGTCTGATTCAGCCGTGTGGTGGTCTCCTTGATAGGATCCGTGCTGATTTCATCATTATTGCTCTTCAACGTCTCCTATTGATTTAACGAAGAACCAGAAAAAGACCAAAAACAGATCACTCTCCATTTCTCATTGATACAAACATTTGGCTGAGTTGCGTAAACAGTTTTCAAAATCTGAAATCTGTTGCCGCGCGTGCACAAGGGTTGTGTATAGGGCTGCATCCTCAAAACAGATAACGACCACGCGCAGCAGTCTCACAGGAACACAGCAGAACCTACGAGTACATTAAACACACATAAAGCTATTTGACTGCGGATGACGAAAGAACGGATTTATAGAGCGCTAAAACGCGCCAAGAAAGAAACGAAATGATTTCAACATACATGTACAAACTGCAAGTACCTTATTTTGTGTAAGGCCATACCGCTCGCGCAGGAACTCAGTTATCTCATCCTCCAACGCAAGGACAGCACGCTTGACGAACACGATTCCACGGTGCTCCGAGTTAAGTGCTATATGTCCAGTGATCCCGAAGGCTATCACGATCTTTCCAGGGGTGGGCTTGTCGAACAGCACGCGTAGAAGTTCACTAAAGAAATCCACGATGTCCTTTTCGTTACACCACGAAGATTTGTTCTCAGCCAACAACTGTTGGAGCTCTGCATTCTGCTCTTCGGTAATCACCTTGACTACATTGAAAAGCTGTCGCGCATCATCTGACTTGCTGATTATCTCCTCGTCTATGGCGCTGGACTGTGGGTAGAGAAGGCCCGCCATGCTCGCCTGACCATTGTTGGTGAGTGTATGGCGGACGATTTGGCGCAGCATGGCGCGCAGCACCCACTCTTCCTCAGCGCCCATCGCTTCCTCCTGCGACAGCGGGTCTACAGAGGTGCCTGCGATTCCCCGCGTCCTCATTTCACGGTCCCATAATGCGGCCAACATCCGCCAGGTGGAACAGGTAATGCGAAAGGAGCAAAAAGGTTCTCGCGAGCAGCCTCAAAGAAAACTTCACCCCTCGCGCTAACAGAGCACACGTATGATCTAGCTGGTGTGCCTTGGTCTAGCCACAACTGTTATAAACCACCCCGTGCAAAAGGCACCACTGTCTACGGACACCACAGCAGCACATAAAGCCAGTATCCACTACTATTAGACAGACCCTACCCGACGGCCACCTGACCTAGCCCTAGGCCTAGCTAGCCTGTCCACATGATGGCCCACATCACCATGAATGACACATGACACAGGCCAGTGGAATTACTACTCCCTTATGTTACATGACGGTCGCCTTGCAGTCGACCAATGACAGATCAAACTGCGCCGGCTGGAAAGCGCGATCTTGCGTGATGAATGAGTCCCGAAACATCAATGGTGTGCCGGAACTACCGCAGGATAAATCATGAACGCTTCAAAGCTGACTTGATTCAGCAGAATTTTTGCAGCATCGAAGGCTGCCCAACAGACATGTGGACGGATAGAGTAATCGCTTCCTGCAGGTGCTTGACACTCATGCCCCTCTTAGATCTTGTAAGCAACTCAAGCGACCATCCGTACCGTGGACACACAGCCAGCTCTTTCACCTTCTGAGTAAGCGCAACCGGCTTCATAGAAAGTGGCTGTGAGACAGATCTGAGGAAATGAAAGTAATGGAAACTCTTGTAAACAGACACATCGTGAACTATTTTGAGGACCACCATCTGCTCACGTCGCACCAGTTTGGATTTCGCAGAGCCCTCCGAACATCGGACGCTTTGAAAGCTCTCCAAACTGCCTGGGCAAGCGCTGTTAGCTGTGGAGGGGCGGCTCGTATCCTTGCTATGGACATCGCGTGAGCGTTTGATCGTGTCTCACATGTCGGCCTCCTCCACAAGGTGCACAGCCTAGGCATCGATGGTCCGCTTCACAGATGGCTGGCCTCGTACCTGGACACCCGTTCCCTACAGTGCCTCGTAGGAGGGCGGACGTCATCTAGGTATACGACCTCCACTGGAGTCCCCCAGGGAAGCGACCAACGCTTTTCCTGGCCTACGTCAACGACGCGCCAGATGTTCTCGCTGACGGCGCCAGCTTGGAGGCCTATGCTGATGACACAACTCTGTACAGCTTAGTCACCTCCCAGCAGACCCCAACAGTCGCCGCGCAGTCACTGCACGTGTCCGTTGACCGACTGGACGAGTGGTGCTGTACATGAAAAGTGATGTTTGAACCGATGAAATCCCAGGCCAAGACAGCCACCCTCAGACGCACCGGCTTAGATCTCCCCCCACTCCTGTTTGGTGGCACACTGGTGCCCGAGACAACCACCATCGCCCTCCTTGGTGTGAAGGTGGACACCAAGTTGACCTTCAGCGATCACCTACGCTCCGTAGCCACCTGTGCAAGCCAACGGCTTGCGGTCCTAAACAAAGCCGCCCACATCCTCACCCCCGCCAGCCGGACGACCGTATATAAGGCGTTCGTGCGACCAGTCATGGAGTATGCGCCTCTTGTATGGATGAGAGCTGCGCAGAGTCACCTCCAAGGTCAGAACAATAAATCAGCGCCGCGCGCTTCATGCTATCGGCCGTGGGGCACACCTACCCAGCCTGGCCATCGGCCGCACTGTTGCCTCGCTTGCCTGCCTGCACAAGCTGCACTACTTGCCTGGTGCTCCGCAGCTGCTCTCTGTGTTGCGACCGCTCCGCATCACCTCTACCAACCCCAGAACTCGCAGCGAGCACGGTGCTGTCAGTGGCCATGACCACCAGCTCCAACACCAGCTGCCTCCATCTGCCCCGCTGGCATTGAAGCGCTGGTTCCCACACTAAAGCATCAGCGATTGAAATTCCCTCAGTGCCGTTCTCCTATCCCAGCCTCCCCACAGCAAGAGAATGCAATCATTCAAAACGAATGTTTACCGTCATCTTCACAGCACAAACTGGCTCTGGGCAGTCGATTCCCTATGAATAGTATGATGCTAAGACAGTTTCTCCCCCACAATCGCTCGTGTTAAGCCTGGGTTTTTTGCATCTTTCTTACCTGTACAGCAATATCTTCTTCTTATTTTTTCATTGTTTTTGGTGCGTGTTTTTGGTCGTGACGCCGAGACCTCAGGTCGGCAGAGTCATCAATGCCCCACCATCACTGCTGCGTCTCGGTGCAGCGCATGACTCATTAGTTGTCACGTTTGTCGTAGTTTCTGTACCATTGTCTTTCCTTATTCTTTTCGAGCTGGTTATGTGAACATAGTAAAAAATAAAAATACTTCCTCCGTATACAAAAACTTCGTGACTTTTTTTGAACGGTGTTTTTTTGAGCAAGAACCTGCTCAACGAACGGCGCCAAAGGCTGTCATCGACAACCCACGTCCATGTCGAGTTTAGTCCGGTTGATCCCGAACAGATTCTCCACCGACACCATGCGTGTGAGGACGTTGCCGACAGAAACTCAAAGAGTCAAATGAAAAAAAACTAACACTTACTTGCTCGAAACTGACACCGTGACGAAGTGTAGCTCGTGGCTGCACTGGTATGGAACACGGAGTCATGCGGCACTCGCTGCCCTGAAACTGGCCAGGCTCGTACTTGCAGTGCGCGGCCCCATAGATCTACGCAGCGTGAGAACATAGATTTGTTTCGCTCGCACGGCAAGATGAAACATTTCAGTCGTCGTGCAACCAGCGCAGACTCAGGATCAGAATGTCGATGGCCTGGCTTTCTTCGGCTCTCCCCAGTCAGACGTCTCCTTTGTCGCCAAGGGGAATTGCAGGGACCTCCTCGAAGCCATTGTAGAATGCTTGGGAGGATTATCCTGGTGAGAAAATGCGAAGCGTGTGGATGTGCTTGTACGACTCGTTTCACGGCATAATGGAGGTCGCGGGTTGGAACGACTGAATCTAGTCGACACCGGTTTGTACACAGCTCTAGAGATGAAGAGGACGTAGCCAAAGTCCAGCGTCGGATCATCACTGCAGGTGACAAGAATCTGACCGAAATGCGAGCGGAAGCAGCGACTGTTGGCGGTGCGGAGTCAGCGTCGTCAGGTGACAATGACATGAGCGACGAAGACTCTGAAAAAACTCAATCTCATTCGTCTGAGTTGCTTTTTTCTTTGTATATAGCTTGTAAACAGGTTAGACAATGCCACAAGTGTTATTTCGAGTCAAACGGAACAATTCCAGAGCCGTGCGCAGCTTTCAAAACAATGTCACGAAGTTTTTGTATACGGAGGAAGTAATTGTACGCCACATTCAAAGCGGCGAGAAAGGAGGCCACTACCTGTAACCGAAAGCTGAAAGAAGCGTACTACAGTATCAAATTTCAGCTTGCAACTTGTAATACAAACCTGGCGAATCATCAACCAGGTGACGGGGAAACAAAGAGAATTGGCAACGCTTCAGAGCTCAGCTGAGGCAATTCGAAGTGCTTTCGCCAAGATCGTGGAAGATCCCAGCCGCCCAGATCATCTTCACATACCCGAAGGGCCAAGAACGGCAGCTATTTGTGTGTAAATTGTTCCTGTATCTATTGCAAAAGTCCGGAGCCGTCTGGAACAACAGAATCCGACGAAGGCAACTGGCAGTGACGGCTTCCCTGAAGCTCGTCATTGGCCTTACTGTTCAGCAAATCCATGAGGGAGAGACATTGTCCTGCTCCGATAAAGGTGGCCAGCATTTCACCTCTGTTTAAAGGTAGCGATCTCAGCACAACAAAGAATCACAGACCCGTGTATCTAATGTCGATAGTATGAAAGCTGTTGGGACGAGTCATCCATGATCAGCTCACTCAGTACTTGTGCCGACCTGATCTATTTCCACCAACTCAGTTCGGCTATCGTTCACATATTTCCACATGTGACGCCCTTGTATTAGGCGTTGAGGGCATATGCCAAGCCCAGACAAAAAAGTACTTCACGGGGATTGCTTTCGTAGATATGTCAAAAGCATTTGATAAAGTGAAGCACCAAACCCTTATTCAGGACCTATTCGAGGTCGTAATTGGTGGAACGGTGCTGCAATGGCTTGCAGACTACCTCTCAGATCGGACACAGTATATCAAAGTCGGTCAGATTCAGAGCTCACCATACACCAGCTTCTCCGGAGTACCGCAGCGGTCAGTTCTCGGGGCCCTGTTACTTGTTCTCTACATCCGTGACATTGCGAAAAAGCTGTCCCCGCACAAAGTTGCGACCCTGCAATTTGCGGACGATATCTCAATTATTAGATCCAGCAGCATGAGCACGGATGCGGTGTCCCAAAATCTCTCAAGTGCTGTCCAGCACCTCGCCGAATGGCCAGGAAGGCAGGAACCGTGGTCTCATCTTGAATGAAACGAAAACACAAATCATGCCAATATCAACAGTACGATCTTAAACATTTGACTTGCAAGTGCAATGTAATGGACTGCCTCTGGCTACTGTTCGCTCTGCGAAATAGTTTGGTCTCCACTTTGATGCAGACATGAGCTGGAACATCATGGTTGACCATGTCCCATGGGGCGTCGCGTCAAAAGTTGGCGTGGTCAGACGATACGCTACATTCCCGCCCTTTCAATGTCGCATAGCCTATTTTCGTTCTTTCATTTTATCACACTTTATGTATGCCGCTTCTGCTTACTTACCATTTCTCACGGCGTATCAAAGTGGACGGCTCAATGAGTTCTTCAAGCGTGCTGTACGAACAGTCTGTCGGGTACCTCCCGGGACACCCACAAGCAATATTCTTACATTCATGAACATCCAAACATTGACCACATACGCCAACATTCACCTTCTGGTTTTTATCTGGCATTGTCTCCATGACTCCTCTAACATCAGCATGTTGTTCGCTAAGTTTTTTAGCCGCAGTAATTCCACTCAAACGCGTTGTTGGCACAGCAATTTACTGATTGTCCCAGCCAGCCCAACTGCATATCTTGACGAAAGTGTTACCTATGCTGGGACCACCTTATGGAACCAGCTCCCCGCTGCGGTCAGGCAAGAAAGAAAACGCAATCGCTTTAAGTCAATGGCTCTTGCCTTTTTGCTTACCAGATAAATAATGGAATGGAAAAAGTAAAATATTGTAGGAAATAGCCTAACATGATAGCAGGGTGTAGTACAAAGCAAAGATCGCTCAGTCAATGAATAACGTTAACGTTAGAATACAACAAC